TTTACCTTTAACCTGAGTGGCCTGTCGCGGGCCATCCCTGAAGATGAGATCTGAAGGAGGCCGGAAGCCGACGCCCATGAATGGCTGACTTCCATGTTACCTAACTAGCGCGCCAAGGTTTCCGGGGAGGTGTTGTTATTTTTAGCATCCTAACTCTGCTCCAACCAACGGACACAACGAGAAAATCGTTAACCAACCAGGCGGCTCCAGGTCTATTTTTAGATAAATTAAAAATATGCATAAAAATGCTATTGTCACGACCAATTCTGCTGAAAACACTCACCATTCATGCGCGGTGAATCATGCTCATTCAATCTGAGCGTAAGTCCGCGAATCAGTGGCTAGTGTTTTGACGGTCAGTCTGGCTAACTATGCTGTGCACCTTGGATACGATGTTCCTGGCTGTGCGTGCATCAGACGTCTGTCACACCGTGGAAGGGAGCCGATGAAACGCGGAAGGAATATCTGGTTGTCGATAACGTCACGTCGTTCTCAGGGCGGGCATACGTGTTGCGTCCGAAGGGTCAACTGGTTCCGCACCCCTGTTTTCTATGACGCCTGATGGAGCGGGATTCAATAATGGAAAGAGCTCGCTAGCGGGTACCTAAGATGCAAGGGAGGGGGATCTCACCGCATCTCCATCTAAGTGAAGTTTCAAGTTTCCAGAACGAGGTAAAACCCATCAAAGTCAATATTGGACCTCAACCATGTATGGAGTACAAGTGCGGAACTGGAGGAGCCAGGTTTCGTATTCTCAAACTCATATTCACTCTGCGCTTTCATGTTTGGTCGAATGGAAGAGACGATTGCTGCAAGGGAACCCCTTCGCTTCAACCTCGATACAACCGCGCTACTATATCGGATCTGGGCTAGGTCAACCGGACATAATCCCCGTCAGCAGTTTTTATTTCTTCAAATCACTCCACAAAGTACTCGCCTTCGGCTTTCAGTGGGAGCTTTCATGGTTTGTCAGGTCGAGGCGAGTATATATACGAGAAAGTCATGCAAAGCAACTCCAGGGTACTTGGAACATCCCTGATAGTTCCTAGTCAGCACGAACCACCTAGATTGAATCACATGAGACTAAAATAATGCCTTCACAAGCTCACCTTGGGGGAAAGATGCCGGTGTTGCTGTTGGGGTCAAGCAAGGAACAGGAGGTACTAGCGTCTGCTTCGGGAGAGTGCTGGCTTTGCTGGGTCAATGCCACCCATCAAGCAGCTCGAGCACCCAATTTTTTTTTTCCGGGCTGGTAGCTGTGTGTACCGTTAAGGTAGTTTACCTCCAGGTGACGATGGCCCTGATGACGTTGGAGGGTGGTATTGACTGGGGGATTACGTGCCAATCTTTCGAAAACATGCGCCTTTGTGGCGTTTCAATCACCAAACATTCTGTAGCCTGAACCCTTCGTCTGCATCGTTCCATCTTGGCTACAGCTTTAATTAGCTTGAATCTGGACCACAATGCTTACTTAGCCTTGGTGGTTTGCAAAAAGCCAGTTCTCCCCGCCGGATACTGTTCCTAGTTGGTGGTACACATCGGCCCGCGCTCAACATTTAGCTTTCGGGTATCAATACAACGACATGTCAAACTAGTGAGCTGCTTGGCTGCTGAGTTCCTTGATCCGAAGGTTGATCCTCGTGATCGCTGCGTATGGATGGACTGGAGACAGAGTTTCAATGCGAACTTACTTCTTCTATACTGGGGATATGTAACTATGTACAAGCTAGGCAAAGACGGAGACCAAAGGGGGGGGGGGGGGGATAATAATTGACAAAAAGAACATATCTTCATGGTGGCCAGCAGCACTCTGCCTGGTAGACACCAATGAACCAATCCATAAAAAAAGGTGGGGATGGGGACTTTAACAACAAGGCTGATCATGACGGCATTAAAAAGTGGCACCAGTGCTTCTCAAAAGACTTAGTATCGTTGCGACGTTGAGCTGCTCCCCGGGGCGGTAGAAATTGGATACAGGTCTGCGTAGTCGTAATGGTACATCGGGTCCGACATCTTCATGTATGGAGACATGGTCGCCGCGATGGTAGCGGTGGAAGTGACTGCCAAATCGGACGAGGTAAGGTAATCCACATCAGTGCCGCAGTATCTTTCTGGTCTGGGGGATACAAAGTATGGGGACGATATTGAATGCTCTGGACCATCGATCCCCAGCCGCTGGCCCTGGCCACCATAGATATCCGGTATCACCCCTGGTAGAGGAGCACAGGAGTATGACGCAGATATAGAGCCATCTGAATACGTGCTATAGGGAGAATACGTGACCATGGGAGCTGAGGATATAGAGCTGACGCTTTCATACGACTGAGAATAGAGAGATGGTGGTGATTCCTGAGTCAGTTGAAAGCTGGTAGGGGGCGAGTTTGACGAAAGTCTCGGCCGTAGAACAGGCTTCAGTGACCGGGCTGTGTGTTGTTCGATGCTCTCGGACTCAGCTGCGTAGGGTTCATCCCTGACCAAACTGCTCTCGTCAGGCGAGTGTTCGGGAGAAGAGGTAGTCTGCCTGAGCTGGTCCTCTTGCCTCTTCTTAAGCTTCTTGCCTGTGGTTAGGCTCGTTAGCAAAATCAACCCAGCCATTCAAATCAAATGTTGTTGATATTGTCGGAATGGGAGAGGTCTCACGGTAGTTCCGCTGAGCGATTCTGTTCTGGATCCGACGTCTCTCCGCAAGATCCGATATCTTCGTCCAATCCTCATTCGGGTGGGCATGGGGACTAAATGCACTCCTGACGGAGAACTTTGATACATATGATTCCTGACAGTGAGGTGGTTGGTTGTTTTGGTAGTCGGCCATGGTGGTCTCCCAACGCTGAACGGCCGTTCTTTTGAGTAGCTAGTTGGTTATTTGGGTCTGTAACCGGGTGGCTAAACAGAATGGGCTACTGGACGATGGGTTGCTTGGGGCGATATGAACGAGTAACGTACGAAGGAATAGTTAGCAATTGTGAATATCTGTCTTCATAGGATGATGAGACAGAGGATCGGCCAAGGAATATATATACCAACACACGTACATATGGGCCGACTCCAGATGATCAATGGCGATCCTATATATAGATCTAGAGGCATCAAGCAGATGTATACGGAGCACCCTGGTCGAGCAAATAAAAAAATAAAAAATAAAAACTGAAAGGTTAGCCGGAAGGCTGAACATCCTGCTCAACGGGAAGACTGCCCCGAGTCAATCATGACCAAGAAGGCGAACCAAGAGAGAAGCCTTGTCCTATCCATGGCCAGCCGGAATGGGTATAGAGGCTGATATCTCCCTCAGAAGATCCGCGGACATGCGCGGGAACTGTTGCAGGGTCCAACGATCTGGCTCGCTGTCCAGTTATTCAGCCATCGACCAGTTAGCCATTGGTAACTAGCCAGTCATTTGGCTAGTTAGCTAGTTAACTACACGGCCGGGGCAGTTAGTAGTGTATCAACCAACTGGCCGGTCTACAGCTGTCTGGATAGTTAGTTTCACCCCCAAGCTGTGCTAGTTTCCATGTAGATGCATGAAACTTACTAACTAGTTAGTTAACTGATTACCACTCACTCGTGGCCTCATATCAGGACGAACAGCTGTATTGCGGCGCTGAGCCACCTTGACGGTAGGTTTTAATATCAAGAAATACGGGGTAGCAAAAGCTGGCAGCCTTTTCCTCAGGCGTGCCTAAATCACCAAAAAACCAGCCTCATCTCCCCAAGCATCCAAGCAGGATGCCTTGCTGTAAGCCGCAATTCCTCGTTTTCCCAACCGCCCTGGCCGGCATCCAGCATTAAACGGAGATGCATGTATAACATTATGGCGGAGGCTTTTTCCACCGTCAAGGCCTTTTCTCCTGATCGATCTTTTCTCGTTTTATGTATTATTATTGTTGTTTATTTATTTTTATTTTTATTTTTATTTTATTTTTGCATTCCACAGCACCCTTGCTCTTCGACCTCGCATTTGGTCGTTTCACGAGCTGTGGAACACACAGGCAGACGTCGACTCTCTCTTGCAGAACTCTATCCCGAGTCGGAGAAATATTGATACTATCGCTATTTTATGTATTTAGTAAATATATTTTACCTTGAGTAGTAAGATTATATGTTTCACGTAAATCAATAAATAGTTTATAAAGGGATAATAAACTTTTGAGACTTTAGTTCAATGGTAGAACATATGACTTTTAATCATTATAGTACGGGTTCGAATCCTGTAAGTCTTAAAAATGGCTATAGGTTAACGGTAGACTATTCGCGTACCATGTGAAATGTGTTGATTCAACTTCAACTAGCCATAAAAAAAAAAGGGTTAGTAACTTAATTGGCAAAGGATTTTCTTGTCGAGAAAATAGATATCGGATCGTAGCCGATTTAACCCGTAAAAGGAAAAGTTGCTATAGGCAAGGCGAGATATTTGCTAAATATTGTGTAGTTACACTTAGATGTTCGAATCATCTCTTTTCCGTAAGATTCCTTAACTTAATAGGTTAAAGTATACTTTTGATAAGAGTAGGATTAGCGTTCAATTCGCTAAGGAATCAATAAGAGTATAATTTAAGGGTAAAATATGGAGCTTCAACCTCCACCTTCTCAGTTCAAATCTGAGTGCTCTTGAATAAAAGAGAATTGACTGAGTGGTTTAAGGTGGTAAGCTTGAGACTTATTTGGTTTAAAAAAATCACATCCGTTCAAATCGGATATTCTCTGAAAAAACAGGTTAGAGCCGGCTGGGTAGGCACCTCATTTGGGTTGAGGATTAGTTATGTTCGATTCATAATAACTTGATAAAAATAAAAATATGTAAGATATATAAAGTATGTAAAGAAACTATTAAGGATAATTAGCTATATATTAAAGATAATTATAAATCTAAAATCTAAGATAAATTAATTAAATAAACAAAGTGAACTGAAGTATCTTAGTAACTTTAGGAAAAGAAATCAAACGAGATTTTATTAAAAATTTTTTTAATAAAAAAGCTTATAAGTAAAACGAAAAAAATTTGTTTGAAAAAAGGGGAACCTTCCTCTAAAGCTAAATATAATATATAAGCGATAGTGAAAAGTACCGTGAGGGAAAATTTGAATTAGTAGTTTTATAAGCAGCTCGAAAAAAAGAGTGTACCTTTTGCATAATGGGTCAGCAAGTTATGTTTAGAAGCGAGCAATAAAATATTGCCCAGTTAAACCAATTATGAAAAAATAATAGAG